GTACTGCGACTTTCACTTACAGACTGTGCAAGTCAAAGACATTTAGGTAGTAGTAATGGTGCAAATCCAAAGCAAGTCAGTTACATAAAGGCTTTATAGTCTGTATCAAATAAAGGCATTTGCCTTGTAGTGGCGGCGGAAGTTAATTCATTATCTCATTTCGCCCCGTAAGTGTCTTAACTAAGAAACGACAGAATAAAACTAAAACGGGACATGGACAGCAGAATATTTTTGATAACGGCTCAAGATTATTAAAAACTGCTGTTGTTAACCCGTCTAGCAAGTATGAAAATGATTGTAAATATCGCCTCTATATGACAATCTATGGAAAAGGTTACGTTTGGCGAATGAATGAACCAAATAAAGACATACAACCTTTTCTTTGGTAAATATTATTATCTGTTACTTAATTTATTACAAATCGACATATCAGAACAGCTTTTTCTTTTTTGTTCTAATAAATCATATACTGGCAACCCTGTGTTGTCCAATGTCGGGACCTGGAATATCCCGTGTGTGTGAATCAGCGCGTGACTGCGCCTGCGCATGAAGCCGCGCGCGACGCCGCACATTGTCGGACACAATGGCTGATGTCATACAAGTTTATGTGATACGCTTAGCAAACGTGTTCGAATTCAGATTGACCGTCTTATAACAGGATTATTAGTCGTATGATTCAAGGCATAGAAGTATTAGTAGGCAATAAAAAGTAAGCAAAATAATATACCCAACCTATTGTTTAAAAATCATTCATAATTACAGATAAAGTCAGACATTACAAAATGGTTTTAAAATTAATATTGTTCGACGTGTTATATTCCGATGATTTCCCGGACGTCAGTCTAAGCTAGATTAGAATGGCTCTCCAGCACCTTAAAAACGGCACATGCCCGGGCGAGGATGGAATTACAGCGGAGCTTCTGAAAGCGGGTGCAAAACCGCTACTTGAAGTCCTTCAGAAGCTCTTTAATTCCGTCCTCCATAGTGGCACTACTTCCGAGGCGTGGAGCAGAAATACGGTGACCTCGTTCTTCAAGAAAGGTTACAACGCTCTCTTGAAGAACTACAGACCGATATCCCTTTTAAGCCGCGTCTACGTGCTGTTATCGAGAGTTATTACGAAAAGTCTCGCACGCAGACTCCCGAACAAGCCGATTTCCGAAAAGGCTTTAGCACCATAGACCACATACATACCCTCGGCAAATTGTACAGAAGTCCACAGAGTAAAATCTGCCACTTTGCTTGGCGTATGTGGACTATGAGAAAGCCTTTGTCAAAACCTGAAAACGAGACTATACAACTAGTGCGTGTTGCCAGTGATGACATATGGAATGGAGACGTGGTCCTTCACTGCTGGCCGTATTAGGACGCTCAAAGTAGCTCAGCGAGCTATGGAGAGGGCTATGCTCGGGGTTTCTCTGTGTGATAAACTTAGATATGGGGGTATCCGCATTAGAATCAGAGTGACCGACATAGCCCAACTGGCAGGACACCAATTCTGGTGGTAGATTAGTAAGCTGAAGTAGCATTGGGCCGGCCATATAGCTCGAGTAACCAATAACCGTTGGGGAAAAAAGGTTTTCGAGTGGCAGCCTCTCACTGGTAGGCGAAGTATAGGGCGGCCCCCCACTAGATTGAGTGACGACCTGGTAAGGCATGCAGGAAGTCGATGGATTCAGGTGGCTCAGGACTGTGCTTTGTGGCGTACCTTGGGGGAGGCCTATGTTCAGCAGTGGACTTGTGAGGGGCTGTAATGATGATGATGATGATGATGATGATGATGATTGTTCGACGTCCTTCAGGCTGATTTTGACAATGATGACACTAATCGGTTAGGATTAAAACATAGACTTAGAAGATTAAAATAAAAACTTGACAATTCGTTATGGAGAACTTCATTCAGCGCCGTTGTTCCGCACGCTTGGAAACAGAGAACCGGAAACTCTTTGTATGGTTTCATACAAGGTAATAAATAAAGAAAATAATTCGTTGTCATTTATATTATCTTTTCTTTCTAATGAATAAAGCTGTATGCAGCATAGTAGCAGCCGCTCAGAGGCTCCATGTCCGTGAACTGAATATTTATTTTGCCGAAAATTTCATAAGTGGAATTTCCTTAACAAAATCCCATATTCTTGGGGAGTTGTTTGTTATAGTTGCTCGCTTGGGATCTTTGAGTATTAAACCAATTTAGTTGGTAAAAAGTTGTTTAAATACTCGAAGCTTGGGATAGCAAGTTGTGATGGGAGCCCTATGATTAGAACTGAACTTGTGATGGACTGTGATGATAATGATGATCCCTTATTCGACTTACGACAGCTATGACGAGACACGATAATAGATTCTGTCGCACCGTCGGTGGCCCGTTTTTTATTTAAATCTATGCTTCTATGTTATTCTATCTATGTTACATTAAAATTCTGAACGCATTCTATTATTTACTTCACTTAATGAGGGTTAAAAAGCTTCTTAAACCTCTGAGCTAAGTCCGTCAACACATTAGGGTTGAGCGGCGTATTCTTTTTTCTCTTCTCTCAGAAATACGGGAGATCTCTTATAGTGTCACATGGCCAGCAGTGAACGCTGATACTTTACTTTAGTTCGTGTAGAGTTATACTTATAAACATATTCCAATAACTCTAACATAGGAGACAGGAAACATTCACATACACGCCCCGTATTAAATCGAACATGAAAGGGACCAAATTCTGTACGCGCTTTGATGCTGCCAATATTAATTCTACAGATAGGTACTTAACGAGTGCAATATAAGAAGATATATTCTGTTTATTGCTTATGTAATAAAATTGGTTCAGACGTCAAAGAGTATTTCAAATAACAAGGTAATAGTCGCCGAAGAAAGTTAAACATACCGAAACTTTGTGAAAATAATTGTTTTCATTGTTTGGGGTTTTCAGTGTTTTGTAATTCTAGAATAAAAGCCATAATACAGATAATTTCATAATTTTGGGTGTCAATCATGCGGAATCGCAAAAGCTTTTAGCAGAACTATATCAAAAATATTTATTATTTAAAGTTTAATCTTTTTTGATAGATATCCAGAAAAATTGCTTTATCCCACCGTATATTTAAAAGTATCACCGAAATATCAGAAAAAACCAGGGATTAGTTTCTTAATATTTAATTTCATAAACTACCTACTATAAATAAATATCTAGTTTTTGTGTCTAAGCTTACTAAAAGTAGGTATGCGTATAATAAAACATAAAGCCATTGCAATGGAATGTACGCTTTTGATACCACGGTTATCGGGTGACCTAGTCTGTTACTGATATCAAGGAATGCTAACGTCCTTTTCATTTTAACAATGTAGTCTCGTTTTTCTGAGATATTAATTATTAAGACAACGGAAAATATTTGAATTCATCTACACATACCTTAGTAGTCTACACATAATTGTTCCGGATCTGGATGTTTGTCCATGTTTAATGAAAGTATGTAAATTGAACTTGTTAAAACAGAACAGCTGTATTCTAACAATATTCGAATGGGGAATTCGCTTCGTTAATGTAACTCTCTACATCATCTCTATCTCATATATCTCATCTACTAATTTAATGTAACCTATGATACCGTAATTTTGTACACGTTCGGAATGGCAGGCACAGATATTTACTAGGTTCTAAGAAAGTGAAAGTAAATCACTAAGTGCTAAGTAAATCATTTGGTGCATTTCAAGTACGAACGGGGGCATTAGTAGCAATTTTACATGCCTTAGCCTAATAGGTTAATCAGCTGGTTAATAGGATGGCAAGTCCACTACTTAAACGCAAGCATTAAAATTAATGCCAAGTTATAAGTCGAATTACAATACCACAAGTAAAGTTTAACATCCCCGCTGATCAAAGGTCAGACTTTGCGATACCTCATCAAAAGGTACCAAGTGCTTTGTAATTTAGTTCCTTTTCAGCCACTGAGGCGCCATTATAAGGAGCTATTTTACAAGACGACATTAACAGCCAATGTATCTACGACAGCAGAAGTGAATTTGCTTGCTAATAACCCAATGGAATTACGTTTAAAGCAGTTTTGAATTGAAACTTCCCCCAGAAATCATAACCTTAACGATGATCACAATAGGGTATTTTACACCATGTAAAATAAAATCAAAAAATATAATATTTATGATAGATTTTGTAAAAAGTAAACGAGAAATATTGATTTCTGTTTATAAAGTTTTACATTTCAATTTTAAGAATTTTTTTTCGTCTGTGTCTCAAATCTGAAAAACGCTGTCCGCCATATTAGATCATGTCGTAACGTCACTGATCCAGCCTAAGGGTATTGGTGTTCTGTATCACTGATTAAGAGAACTAGGTAACGTGCTGTGGTATTTCGAAATTTTTCAGGTAATTATTACGATATTGAATTTTATGCCGAATTTTATTGAAAAGGCATCATGGAAAACGAATTCGTAAAAGCAAAAAGTAGTAATCTACCAAGGGTGAATAAATAGATGGTGGTAATTTTTTTGAATGTAATCTAAATTGTTCTGCTTAAGTTGAGGAATGTTAAAACATCAATGTAAGTACCTATTAAGAACTTTTGTTTATACAAAAACACAATACCAGGTCAGAGTGTATTATGATAAAACATGGTTTAGTAGCTATCATATTTTAATTTATTTATAATTACAATCAAGTCATACTTACATCAAAGTAATCTTCACAGAACTCTGGTTTTTATAGTTTGCCATTTTTAACCAAGTATTTCTTATAACTATTTAATAATAATAATAATAAATGCGCCACAAATGGTAGAGCAACCCGCAAACGTGGATGCCGCCGTGAATACCCCAGTTGTGGTTGATTCAAACGATGATGGAACAGTCGCCCAGGAACTGGAATTAGAGCATATGAGGAGTACATTGGAAGAGGCGATTGTGGAAACGCGCAGTACGCCTCTCGAAAATCGACCGCGACTTCCCCCGCATAGCCCTAAGCAAGCGGAATCGGGCTGTCGTGAGGGCTCTGAACCCAATGCTGGTGACCTATTTGGAAGCCAGCCGGGACCTTTGCGAGACGGACTCAATTCTTTTTGGCGCCGCGCTGGCAGTCTGCCGTATCATAGGCGCTAAGGTTTCCACGGCTGGACGCGCTACTGGCCATAGTAGCGCTATCCCAGCATGGAGAAGAAGAATTGAGGAACGTATCGCAAAGGCTAGAGCTCTCATCGGCAGACTGATATGCTTCAGATCAGGCAACAACAGGCCAAGAATTGTGCGCACCGTCAGGATGGCGTTTGCTGGGACAAATGTCAGTTTGTCCCAGCCGGATATAACGCAAAAACTGACGGAGCGCATAGATGATCTGAAGCAGAGAATCGCTGCTTGGGGAAAGCGGATTCGGCGATATACCGAGAGGTCGACACGGTTCAACCAGAATCGTCTCTTCCAGAGTGATCAGAAGAGGCTCTATGAATCATTGGAGCGACCAATGGTAAGTGGAACGGGTCCAGCACCGAATCAGGCCGACACTGTAGCATTCTGGCGCGGCCTGTGGTCAGAGCCCGTAAACCACAGCGAGGGCCCTTGGACGGAAGTTGTGGCGAGTCAGTGTGCGGGTATTACGCCCATGGACCCCGTCATCGTAACGCCGGATGACGTAGCTGAGGCGGTTCGTAGGGCCCCGAACTGGAAAAGTCCGGGGCTTGACGGGCTGCATCACTACTGGCTGAAGGGGTTCATGGTGTGTCACTCTGTGCTTGCCCGACAGTTTCAAGAGGCTCTCAACCAGAAGTCGCTCCCAAGCCTCTTCACTACTGGGATCACTCATTTGGTTCCTAAAGACCAGGGTACCACAGACCCGAGCAAATACCGCCCCATCACGTGTCTACCGACCATATACAAGACACTAACATCCATTTTGAGCGCGAGAATCACTTGTCACCTGGACTCAAATCAGGTGATGTCGCGCGCTCAAAATGGATGTCGGGCAGGTGGTCGTGGAACCAAGGAACCACTCCTCATTGACGCGGTCATTGGCAAAGTGGTGAAACGCAACCGTCGGAACTTCTCCGCCGCTTGGATAGACTACAGAAAGGCATTCGACTCGGTGCCCCATACATGGCTAAAGAGAGTCCTCGAGCTGTACAAGATAGACTGTACAGTTAGAGACTTCCTTGAGCAGTGTATGGGGCAGTGGAGTACGATCCTTTGTCATCTGGGCGAGCGGATGATGGCTGCGGAGAACCACATAAGGATAAGAAGGGGTATCTTCCAGGGCGATTGTCTGAGTCCAATCTGGTTCTGCCTCTCTCTGAACCCTCTCAGTACCTTACTGGAGGGCTCCGGGAGGGGATTTCAGCTACGGAGAGGAGGGACAAAAGTGACCCACCTTTTCTATATGGATGACCTCAAGTTATTCGCCTCCAGTCGCTCCCATCTTATGGAATTGCTAAACATCACTTGTGAATTTAGCAATTCCATTGGAATGGAGCTTGGGACGGATAAGTGTGCGGTCCTCCATGTTGAAAGGGGAAGGGTTGCTAACTCTGAGGGCGTAGACTTATCTATGCCCGTCAACTTAAGGACCCTTTCCGAGGCTGAAACATACCGATACCTGGGTATGTCACAGAACATCGGTATCGATGAGACTGGTATGAAACAGTCAGTTTGCGACGTGTTTTATGCACGCTTGACCAAAGTGCTTAACAGCCTTTTGTCCGGTGTGAATAAGGCACACGCATATAACGTCTGGGTCATGCCTGTCCTCATGTATACCTTTGGTATACTCAGGTGGACTCAGACTGAACTTAACGCCCTGGATAGAAAAGTCCGCACTACCATGACGTCCCATAGGATGCATCATCCGAGATCGTCGGTAATGAGGTTGTACTTGTCGCGGAAGCATGGTAGTCGTGGCTTCTTGAGCGCGCTCACCATGCATAATCGCGAAGTGTGCAGCCTCCGTGATTACTTCCTGGCGAGATCGGATGATCCATTCTATAAGGACGTCATTTCTTGTGATAAAGGACTTACCCCTCTATCCTTAGCCAACGAGCAATGGCAAGACCCGGCAGTGCAGAGCATTTCCGACCGGGAGACCGTATGGAAGGAGAAGGAGCTCCACGGGAGGTTCTACAAGGCTCTACATGAGCCTCTCGTAGACACAGTAGCCTCCCTCCACTGGCTACGCTTTGGTGATCTCTTCGGGGAAACCGAGGGTTTTGTCTGTGCAATACAGGATCAGGTTATTAAGACCAACAACTATCGGAGATACATCCTAAAGGATGGCACCGTCAACATCTGTCGAGCTTGTCGCCATCCCGGTGAGTCACTTAGGCATGTTATCTCCGGTTGTTCGGCGCTTTCTAACTCTGAGTACTTGTACAGGCACAACCTTGTAGCCAGAATTCTACACCAGGAGCTCGCTCTGAAATACGGTCTCGTGGACCGGAAATTGCCGTACTACAAGTACTTGCCGGAAGTCGTGCTCCAAAATGATCGCGCCAATGTAGGCTCTATTGGGACCGGGCCATCATCACAGACAGGACTATTCTTGCGAATAAGCCTGATATTGTGCTGATGGACCGGGCACAGTCAAGGATATTTTTGGTCGACATTACCATTCCGTATGACGAGAACCTCGTGAAAGCCGAAACAGACAAGCAAACAAAATATCTGGACCTGGCTCACGAGGTGACCGACATGTGGGGTGGTCTGCCGACCGAAATTATTCCTGTAGTCGTCTCTGCAAACGGGCTAATCCCAGTCAGCCTCTCGGGTCATCTGAGGCGGCTGGGACTACGTGGCGGACCGCTCCAGGTTCAAATGCAGAAGGCGGTGCTCCTCGATACCGCCCGCATCGTCCGCCGGTTTCTTTCCCTTTCCCCCTAACCCTCGGCCGTTTGGTCTCCCCTGCCGAGGGCCTCCATCTGGTTGGGCTTTTATTTATTTATGTACTTTTATATTTATTTTATGTTATTGATATTTATGTATATCTATCTTTTCATTTTCATTTATAATTATATATTTATAGAACCCAACCAGATGAGAAAACTATATAGATACCCCATAATAATAATAATAAATATTTATTGCCACACAATAATAAGTTTACAAATGAAAAGTTTACAAAGTAAGTATACACATAAAAATTATTAGACTTAAAATAAAAATAAAAAAAACATTCACAATTAACAGATTAACTAATATTACTCAGTATACGATTATAATGTGAGGCAACGGGCACAGGCTCAGTATTCGCTGGGCATTATGCTCAGCACTGTTTTTCAGCCAGTCCCTGCTGTTTTGGGTATATTTTGGTCGCACGCACATCGTACTTAATTATGTATTGTTGGTAAACCTCTATACAGTCAATATGTGTTAGATAAAAATACTTATTACAGAATAAACATACAGTTATTCGGCCTAAAAAGATTTCTGTTCGTGTATTAACTCCTTTTTAACCTTTTTTTTTAAATGTTGAAGAATTAATATTAAAATTTTCTTTTAAGGGTGGTGGCAAATCATTCCATATTTTTGCGGCCGAATATTTAAAACATCCTTTGAAGTTTTTAGTCTTATGGCATGGAATATTCAGCATGTTTGAGACTCTTTTACGTGTATTTACTTCATGGGCATTCTTACTCCAATCTAATTTATTGTATAAATACAGTGGACTTTTGTTACTAATAATTTTGTGAACTAAGCAAACCAAGTGGAGTTTCCTACGTGCGTCCATTTTTAAAATATTATTTTAATTAATATATGGAGTAATGTGAGCTCTTTTTGGGACGTTAAAGCAAAAACGAGTACATGCGTTTTGCACGCGTTGAATTGCCTTTTTTGTTTTTGCATACAGTCGTGGGCCATAGACGGTATCGCAGTAATTAAAATGTGATAACACTAACGACTCAACTAAGGTCTTCCTGATCGTTACTGTTAAGTATTTTCTTATGCCATATAAAACCTTTAAACGATAAAAAGCATTACGTACTTTAATATTTACATGTTCATTAAATCGCAGTTGGCTATCGAGGGTAAGACCAAGGTTATTAGTATGATCCACTCTGAGTACCTTTTTTTTGTTGATGAGTATTTCCGGTTTCTTACTTAATATTTTTTTACATTGTGTTTTACTTCCTAGCACCATATATTTTGATTTTAAAGGATTAAGGGTTAGACCATTTTTGTTTGCCCATTGGAAGATTGCCGACAAATCTTCATTTAACTGCATAACTGCATTTTCCGTCTGTTCTGGCTTGAACGAATGATAAATTTGAGTATCGTCGGCATACAGATGTATTTTACTATGTTTTAATACTTTGCTAATATCCGCTGTAAACAGTACGAATAGAATAGGGCTTAAGATAGATCCTTGCGGAGTGCCTCGTGACGTTCTTCTTACACTTGATTGTATTACTTCCCCTTGGTCAGTGTTAATTTCAACATATTGACTTCTATTTGACAAAAATGAGTAAAACCATTTACACGTTGCCTCCGATACTCGGTAGTATGACAGTTTCGCCAGAAGTATATCATGGTTTATGCAGTCGAAAGCTCTAGTAAAATCCAATAGCACCAGTATACTACCCTCACCTTTATCAGAAGCTGCAGTTATATCATCCGTGACGTGCAGCAGAGCTGTTTCCGTACTATACCCTCGACGAAACCCGGATTGTGTTTCTGGTAAAATATTATTATCTTCTAAATATCTCGTTAACTGTGAACATACTACCCTCTCCAATATCTTGGAAAGTGTAGGTAAAATGCTGATTGGTCTAAGGTTATTAATTTCCTGTACGTTTGGACTCTTAGGAATAGGTTTAATTTTGGCCAGTTTCCAAGGATCTGGAAAAATCTTAGTAGTAATGGATTCGTTTATTATTCCTGTTATTATAGGTAATGTTACCGATAAAGATATACGAACCATATCTATATTAATTAAATCGTGTCCACTGGCTTTAGTTCCAATTGCTGTAATTATTTTATAAACCTCAGATTCTGTTGCGGTTGTAATATTAAATTCAGTGTTTTTTAATCGGTTGCTATTGAAGTAATTAAAAGTACTTTTATCCATTTCATTATCTCCTGGCACTTCTATAAAAAAATTATTAATAGTATCGGGGTTACAGAGGTGTGATGGTACGCATATTTGTCCTGATTGGTTCCCCACGGGCGATATTCGCTTCAGATGGCTCCACATAGTTTTTGGATTACCCTGATTTTTGTTAATAAAAAACGTAAAATAAGCTGACTTTTCTCTATTGATTGCGCTATTTACTAAGTTTCTGAGACTTTTATAATAGTCATTGTGCGAATCCTTTCCTAAAATATTGGCACGATTATGTGCAGAGTCGCGGAGTGTCATCATTAATTTTATATTGTCTGTAATCCAAGGTGTTGGTTTTTGTTTTAGCCTAATTAACTTTAAAGGTGCATGTATTTGAAAAGCGTCAAGCAACATACTACTAAACTGTTGAACTTTTTTGTGGATATTATTTTCAATTACAGTATCATACCAAGACAGACTTTCCAGATGAGCTAAAAATTCATTTTGATTAATTTGTCCTAAAGACCTCGTGTGTATGTATAGCTGTTTCTCCTTAGGTTTATTAATTTTAAGTTCGGAAATCACCATGGCATGGTCACTCAGTTCCGTGTTATGGTATACGTTAATACTTTTGCATAATTCTGGAGAATCGGTCAAAATAAGATCTAGAAGTGATTCTTTTCTATCAGTAATGCGTGTTGCTTCATTAACGAGTTGAAAGAGTCCTTGCTGTGATAAAAACGTATTTAATTTGCGAGCTATTAATTTATGAGGTCGTAGGAGGTCAATGTTAAAATCAGTTAATAAAAAAATGCAATCACAATATCCGAAAGTACTTACAGATTCACTTAGTGCATCCATCGCAATCTCAATATCTACCGATTCTGGTCTATATGCTGTACCAATCGCGACACGTCCGCTGCCGGGAATCTTTAGTTCAAGCCACATTTGTTCTAGTTGTGATTCTGGGTGTTGCGTGGTCCGCAACCGAAGTTCTTTTCGAACAAAGAACCCTACACCGCCTCCGCGGCTATCCCGTGGGCGTGGTTTGTGTTTAAGTGTATATCCTGGTACTAATAATGCCATCTTTTCTTCGCCTTCTTTAAGCCACGTTTCATTAAGAGCAAGAATGTCAGGTTTATATTTGTCAAGACTGGCCAATAACTCATCTTTACCTGTATTTAACGATCTGACATTAAGTAACCCCAATGTTAAACTGCGATTTTTATTTAAAGGACCCATTATTATAAACATATGTCCTCAAAAAATGTATTGCAACTGTGAGATGTTCTAAGCCCGTACGAAAATTATAGATAATAACAATATCAGATACAAAGAAAAACCAGCAACTAAACATATAAAAGGGTGGATCGTGTACACGAAACTCCCTGTAAAACACCTAAAAATAAATCTATGATTAAAAAATATATAATTGACACTATTATAAACAGTTTGAAGGTTGATATTACAATTCGTTTTTATGATTTTTCTTATATTTACACTACTTACAATAAAAATTTTAGCATATTTTTTATTATTTACTAACGCTAACTGAACCAACCATATCTTCACCAAAAACCTTAACTAAATCTGTTTCCGAACGAATACGATAGCTCTTCTTACCATGTTCTTGACGTATATATATATTTTTTTTTTTTTTTTTTTTTTTTCCATCTCTTGTCCATACATACTGCCGCTTATTTCGCTTAGATATTTCCCGCGACTTTAGAAAGAGCTGACGGTTATATTTAGTAAGGCGTTCATTGATATAAAATAAACGCGGAGATCCAGGAAGATTCATGTCAGCTGTGTTAGCACCGCGTCTCACGCGTGCTGCCTGCAACAGTGCATCTTTTTGTGCTCGGCGTGTGAGCCTTACTACAATTGGTCGGGGGTTTGGCACCGGCTGTCCTTCAACAAGCGCCCTTATTGGCCCGACGCGTTTTACACTTACTATGTCACGGTCCTCAATCTCCACAGTTAGTTTCTTAGCGACAGTAAACGTGACGTGCATTAGGTTTTCATTTCTCACCTCTGGTATGCCCGCTATCTCCACATCATTGGATAACATCTCCTGCTCACGGTCTTGAAGGTCTAGTTTCAATTGAGTTATTGTAGTTTCCAGGTGTTCAATTCTGTTAGATTCTTTGTCAATTTGTTACTTCCAATGACTCTAATTTAGCCTCTAAATAATCAATTCGTTCGTTATACTTATTCATAACTGCCGTTAATTCATACAATGTGCTATTAAATTGTACCATTTCATTACGGACTGCACGTAATTCACACCAAAATAACCGCATTTCCTTAGCAGGGCTTAAGTCTGAGATCTCAGAAGGAGACATGTCTAGTATATTATCCGTATCTGTTGGTTTGACTATTTTTACACGATGCTTAATATTATGAGAATTTTCGGAGTTATCCGACTCAACTAAGTCTTCCTGGTGTTTTTGTGATATCGTGCTTGCGCGTACCGGCGTATTGGTATTATCAGTCTTTGGCTGCTTACTGCGGCATTCTATACATTTCCAAGAACGTTTGTTCTCCTGATCCATTAAATGAAAACGTTTATTCGATACATTAGCGCAAAGTAAATCATATTTTAACTTACATATTGAACATCCCAGAAACTCTCTTTGCGGCAAGTTGTTGTTGCACCCCGCACATTTTTGTACTATTTTGCTATTCTTTGTTGACGAAGACATGTCCCGTGGATGCAATATTAATATCAACTTAGCGGTAGACTTAAAATAATCAGCTAATCGTCAGCAATGCAGCCCGGTTGTTAAAACTTCTAAGCGAACTGTTCGACGAAAAGAACGTAAGCACCGTGCAGATCGTGTCGCTTACGCGTTATAGTCAACAACTTCTCAAGAAACACACGTTTGAATATTTACTTTTAATTATTTCCTTATTTTATGTTTATGTTCCACTAATCACTCACTATCTGATTAAATACTAGAAAACTAATTGAGTAAAGTTCAAAAAATATAGATACACATCAAAATTACGGGTTATTCTCACTAGATAAACTTTTTTACTAGCTAGAACATTTGGATACGTGCGACCTTTACGTTACTCCGTTACAAGTCCGTTAAATACTTGGCACTTGAATCCATAACTTTCCCAGCGTTCTTATGCTCGTATTTTTGCATTCAGGCACAACACAACAATGATTTAGATTATAACTCATTATTAAACATTAAAAAAGTATCTTATTCCTTTGCAAAATCGGCATAATCGAGGACAGTGACGTCACGAGTTGAACAGCATGGCGGCTACCGTTTCCACGCGAAAATTTATAACGATGGATTAAAAGTAATTTTTGTGGCACTATTCGGTTTAAAAAAATTATATAAAAATTTAGTGTTTCATTATCACTCTAGGATTAATTTAAATCAATTTTTAAAAACTGGTCTTTTTCGACAGTGCTAAAGCATTCGATAGAGTCTGGCATGAAGGCCTTATCTACTAATTGTACGACTTAGCTCTCCTTGACCGTCTTGTCCGTCCTCCTACTTGAAGAATCTTACCTTTCGTTTCAGACACGAAGGCACACTTTCCTCTCCTCGTCATATTAAAGCTGGTGTCCCTCAAGGCTCCGTGTTTGCCCCTCTCTTATACATACTATTCACCAACGACATATCCATCCCGTTGAATGGTTTTTTTTTTTTTTTTTTTTTTTTTTTTTTATAGAAGAGGGGGCAAACGAGCATGTGGCTCACCTGATGTTAAGTGACTACCGCCGCCCATGATCAACCGCAACACCAGGGGAATTGCAGGTGCGTTGCCGGCCCTTTAGAAAGGAGTAAGCTCTTTTCTTGAAGGTCCCCAGGTCGTATCGGTCCGGAAAAATCACCGGTGGTAAATTATTCCACAGAGAGGTTGTACGCGGAAGAAAACTCCTTTTGAAACGTACAGTGGTGGACCGCCAAGCATCCAGATGGTGTGGATGGTATCGGGACGTTTGCCGTGTAGTGCGTTCACGAAATTTGGCGGCTGGGATTAATCCGAACAATTCCTCAGAGCACTCCCCGTGATAGATGCGATAAAATACGCAAAGAGATGCAACATCTCTTCGCAGCGCCAGTGAATCGAGCCGATCGGAAAGCACTCGGTCGTCAACGATTCGAGCCGCTCTGCGCTGGATGCGGTCAAGTGGAAGGAGCTGGTACTGGGGAGCCCCAGCCCAGAGATGGGAACAGTATTCCATGAGCGGCCGAACCTGCGCCTTGTAAAGTTGCAGGCGGTGTGCCGGCATGAAATACTGTCCCGCTCTGCTGAGCACGCCAAGCTTTTTAGAGGCCAATTTGGCCTTCCCTTCCAAGTGACCACGAAACTGCACGTCACTCGATATGTCGACGCCGAGGATTCCGATACTGGCTGAGGCAACAAGGGGAGTGCCTTGAAACTGAGGGGATACGACAAAGGGGTTCTTTTTAGCGGTTAACGCGCAAACTTGTGTCTTCTGGGGGTTAAACTGGACTAGATTTAGTCGCCCCCAATCCGAGACTCTGTCCAGCAGAGACTCGACTTCAGACACAAGTTTGTCCCGGCACTCAGAGACGTTTTCCCGAGAAATATTGGCTCGGCCGGTGTAAAGAGCATCACCAGTGCTGTCATCTGCATAGCAATGAATGCTACGGGTTTGCAACATATCATTGATATGCAGAAGAAACAGCGTTGGCGATAGCACGCAGCCCTGTGGAACACCAGCATTAATAAGCTTGCAATCGGAGCTTGCACCGTCTACAACGACCTTGATGCTCCGATCTGCAAGAAAACTGGTGATCCAATCGCACAATTTCTCGGGAAGCCCATAGGAAGGGAGCTTCGAAAGAAGCGCTTTGTGCCAAACCCGATCGAAGGCCTTCGCAATGTCCAAACTAACGGCCAATGCCTCCCCCTTGGACTCTACTGCCTCCGCCCATCTGTGAGTTAGGTAGACCAGAAGATCACCAGCTGACCTACCACGGCGAAAACCGTATTGGCGGTCACTAATCAGCTGGTGATCCTCAAGGTACCTCATGAGCTGGCAGTTTACAATGGACTCCATTGTTTTGGAGAACAAGGAGGTGATGGCGATAGGCCGGTAGTTGGACGGGTCTGAGCGGTCGCCTTTTTTAGGGATCGGGTGGACGAAAGCCGTCTTCCATGATTTTGGGACTACGCCTAGGGAGTAGGAGTACCGGAAAAGACGCGTTAAAACCGGTGCCAACTCTGGAGCACACGTCCTCAGCACAATTGGGGGGATTCCATCAGGCCCACTCGACTTATGGATGTCCAGGGAGAGGAGTGCTTTGCGAACCGAGCGCTGAGTGAACTGCACTTCCGGCATGGAGCACTCACACCGCGGGATGGTCGGCGGCGTACTCCCCCCGTCATCGAGAGTCGAGTTAGACGCAAAGAAAGAGCCTAGAAGATCGGCTTTCTCCTTTGCGGTGTGGGCCAGTGAGTCGTCCTCCCTGTGCAGAGATGGAAGAGATGGCTGACAGAAATTCCCTTGGACAGC